AATTTGTCGAGTTTATGGATTTGTTTACCTGAGGCAACATCAAAAAGCACACCATCCGACAAGACCAGCTCGTCGTTATGACTAAATGTCGCTTTATTTTTTGTGTAGTGATTGCTTTGACTTGTTGCTATGAATCTTTGGACTTCTAAACCAGTTGATACATCATATATCTTTTGAATAATACGTGATTAATTAAAATTAAAAAAAATTATATTAAAAAAACTCACTGTTGCAGTTGCCCCTTTGGTCCCAATTATTTTTTCTTGGGTTGTTTTACTAAATTCGACATAATCTTCAATATCAAATGCATATCTAAAGAAACAAAAATGATGTGAATGGGGAAAAATAAAATAATTATGTACTTACTTCATATCATTGTTATTCATTGCCCATAATGCAGAAAGTGGTTTCCCCCAAGTAGAGCTTGTAAGTAAAAGCTTTCCATCCCTCGAAGGTTCTAAATGAACCACGTAGCTATCGTGCGCTTGAAACATGGTTTCTTCATTTCCGTTATGTAAATTAAATAGGCGAACTTCACCGGAATAATCTCCAACAACTATACTTTGCCCGCCAGGCTAAATATTTTTTGATTAATTTAAAATAACCATATAAAAAAAACAACTTACCACAAATTGAGCACAAGTAAAAAATCCATCATCAGTTGGAAGTCTAATTACAGTAACGGGACAAAATCGCGAATGTATCAACTTCCGTTCCATCGATCTACAACCATAACCAATTTGTCGTCTTGCAGATCGGATTGCAAAATTCGTTGCGGCGGTTATTCTTGGTTTTGGGTCTGGACATTTGTGTGGTCTAAAAAATATTTTCGATCAAAATAAAATAAGTACGAAGGATTTCAAGGTGGGTGTTAATTAAACTAAAACTAGAACTGACACTAGACCTAGAAACTTTCGTCACCAAAATCAAACCTAAAATTAATGAAAGGAATGTACTGCGAATGATAAAAGAAAAACACATACATCATCATCCTACCAGCAAACAAATGGAATGCAACCGTGGTTATGAACAAAAAGAATACGACCATAAGATGAGGAGCATTTTCTTTGTTACAGAATGTAGCAGGCGTTTAAACTTGCTGAACGATGGTGTGAACAACATACCCTATCTGTTAATCTTAAAAAGACTAAGATTTTTCTCTTCATTAAACAGAAGAAACTGGGACACTTAACACCACCCAATTTCTGCAATAATCCATTAACCTTTGCTACAAAGGTGAAATATTTTGGTGTTATCTGGGACAAAGGAATGACTTTAAAATCAACCAGTGATGACCCAGTATCAAAGGGCAATTGAGAATACTTGGGGATTAAATCAGAGGGTTACAATGTGGATCTACACTTCTGTGATAAGACCCATGGTACAGTACCGCTCAGAAGTACAGTAGAGCCCCGATTATCCGCGAGTGCCGTGAAATATTCTTTTCTTTTAAATTTAATTAGATTTTCGTTATATATCGAAATGTGTTCGTGTGTGCTCGTGTGTTTATGCGAATTGCGCTCGATATTGATCAGACGAACGTGTGTTTCGACTCATTTTAAAGCATGTTTCGACTTGTCACACCGTCCACAGTCGTGTTTCTTTGTCGGTGGTTATTAGCAGATTATTAGTTTGTTCCTAAAACAAATAATGGCTGAATAACGAAAGAAGGTTGTGTTAACGATTCCACAAAAAAATAGAAATGATTTCTAAAATAGAAAATGGCGCATCAAGAAAGCAGATGTGTTTACAATACGGGATTGGGGAAACAACAGTGCGAGATGTTTTAAAGCAAAAAGAAAAGTTACTGGCTTTTGCAACAGTTTCAAAAAGTGTTTCTGGAATGAAAAAACGAAAAACAATGAAGAAATCCACGTACAGTGAACTTGACTCGGCATTAGCGGAGTGGCTAGCTCAAGAGCGAAGTGAAGGCACTCCTGTATCCGGCCCTAACATTGCAGTTAAAGCAAAAGTCTTCTTTGATTTGTTAGGATTGGAAGGAAATTTTGATGCGTCGTCCGGTTGGTTACATCGCTTTAAGAAACGTTATGGAATTAGGGAGATAGGTCTTCATGGGGAAAAGCTGAGCGGTGATCAATAAGCAGCTGACGATTTTCAACGTGATTTTGAAAAGTTTGTAATGTCGGAAGATTTGTCACCAGAACAAATTTATAATGCTGATGAATCAGGGCTTTTTTGGAAGTGTCTTCCCACTCGCACTTTAGCATTTGAAAGTGAACATAAAGCGGCAGGACACAAAAGTAGCATGGAAAGAATCACAATCTTGCCATGCAGCAATGCTGCTGGTACCCACAAACTGAAACTTCTTGTAATCGGTAAATCTAAGAAACCAAGGTCTTTTAAGGGGACAAGAGCAGACAATTTACCAGTCGATTATTTCAATCAAAAAAAAGGTTGGATGAACCAGCAGATTTTTCAAGAATGGTTTGAAAAGATTTTTGTGCCTCAAGTACGTAAACACCTTGATTCAAAGAATTTACCAAGAAAGGCCGTTTTATTAATTGACAACGCGCCTTCACACCCTGCCGCAAGTGTTCTTAAATCTTCTGATGAACAAATTTTTGCAAAGTTTTTGCCCCCAAATGTTACTGCGCTCATACAGCCTATGGACCAGGGGGTCATTGCAACTGTGAAGAGGATATACAGAACAAAGTTGGTAAAAACAANAGAAGGTTACGATTTTAAGCAGCTTTGGAAGATGTATACAATTTTGGATAGCATTTACGATATTGCGTTTGCATGGGATTGTATTAAACCGTCAACCCTCGTCAAATCGTGGAGAAAACTCTTTCCAAATATTGAAGTAAATGTCAACCAAAACATTGGTGAAGAACATAATGAAGATATGCCTATCGCTGCACTTATTGACTTAGTGACATCCGTTCCGGGAGGTGAGAATGTAAATCAAGAAAACATAGAAGAGTGGCTGGAATGTGACAAAAATGAGCCAGGGTTTGAACGACTATCTGACGTAGAAATAACAAACAAAGCAATGGGAGTGAACGAAGAAAACGAAGAAATTGAAAGTGAAGAAGGCGAGGTGCTTGCGCGGATGACACATGAAACTGCTTTGCAGCATGTAGACGGATTGCTTCAATATTTAGAGGAGCAAGACGACGCACATCTGGCAGAAAAACTTATGCTAAGGAACGTACAATCCAGAATAAAGAAAAGGTGCTTCCAAAGCAAGAAGCAAAAGCTAGTGACCGATTTTTTTAAAAAGATGTAACTGACAGTTTTTGTCTACTGTACAGTTTTTGTTTACAGTACAGTGATACAATACATATGTACATATTGTTTTTTGTTTATTACTAGTCTTTACTTTAGTCTTTAGTGATTTACATGTAGAAGAAAGGTTGAAGTAAAATATGTTTTGTGTTTCCACCTTATTTTTAGTCTTTTTCGGGTTATCCGCGATTTTTATTATCCGCGGCGCCCTTGCCACCCAATTCCGCGGATAATCGGGGCTCTACTGTATATGATAATTTGGTTTTTCCCACATAACATTTCTAATACTGGACGAATCTTCACACAATTTTCAGGCAATGCATAACGAGTGAATACAACTATATTATATTCCAGAGGATACAATAAATGCCAAAGCATAGAGGCGTGACAAATTTCTTTTGAAAATCGATGTCAGGCCTAGAAATAACTTTTATTTTAATTTTTTGTTTCGCGTTATTTTCACGTGATATTTTCTGAATGTTATGAAATATTATTCTTAAAAATGAGTAAAAAGAAAGGAAGTCGAGATTTGTCGGAATCGACACAGAAGGCCATCATAGGATGCACACAGATGCAACTCACCACGCAGATATCGTCGGTACTGAAGACGTGGAGGATACTTGGTTGCTTGGTGACGAAGAAACTAAAATGATAGACCTCAAATCACCACCCGACTGGAGGACAGCAACGGCGCGATGCTGTGCAGAGCGAACACATGGCTCACGACGGTGGACATTGGGGGAGAATTGTGGTGTTCTGCGCAGTGCCAACCGTCTACATCAACGGTCAAGAGGAGGCTGAAGGATGCAGGACTCATTGGTCGACCTCCGGTAAAGAAACAACTCGTTTTACCTAAGAACAGGAAGGCGCGCGTGGAATAGGCGAACGCGCCTCTCAATTGTACCGGGCAGCAGTAGGACGAGAGCAAGTTTCTGCTATTTGGAATTAATGGCATATCGTGCATACATTCTTCGAACACTCGCTTCGATCGCAAGTACCTGCTTCCCACGATGAAGCATGTCAGTGGTTCCGTCATGGTGCTTCAGCACTGCTATCACCGGCCCTCTGGTTCGCATTACGAGCACCATGGACCGCCAGAGGTACAGGGACTGTCTGCAAGATGACATGCTTCCTTGGCCACGCAAAAACATGGGTCGGTGTTGACTGTTTCAGCAAGACAATGATTCCAAGCACACATCCAGGAATGTCCAACTGGATCGCGCAGCGTTGAGTGGCGGTAATGGACTGGTGCAGCCAGAACCGGATCTCAACATCTTCAAACCACTGTGGGACACTCTTTGACACAAGTTGACGACGAAGTTTCCGACGACGAAAAGCTCCAACAGCTGCAGGCGAAGTGGGTAAAGACCGACCAGTCCACTATCGATGCATTGATCGATTCCATGCCCAGATGTCAGGCTGTGACGAACAGGATGGGTTACCCAACCAAGTATTAGCTGGCTCTACATGGTTGATTGCCGTTCACGATTGTTATGTTGATATTTCTTGAGTTATGATTTATTTTTGTTGACATCGCTTTATAGCGTATTTTCGTATTTTAATAAAAATAATTTTTTAATAACTCAAAGTTAAAACGGATTCTTCTACACAAGTCTGTGTCATGTGAAATACATTGCAAAAACTATGGTGAAAAAATGGTCTGCTTTCATAGAGTTTCAAAAAAGTTATGTGGGAAAAACCAAATTATCATATACTTTTGAGCGGTACTGTAGCTCACGGAGCCATACTTTGGTGCTCAGCACTAAAACATGGATATAAGGCTAAATTGCTGCATCAATTGCAACGACTAGCCTGCCTGTTAATTACAGGCGCCATGAGATTGACACCTACGATCGCGATGGAGACTATGCTGAACGTAGTGCCCCTAGATATTTTTATCAGGGAGGTGGCCGTAATGGCGTTGCTTCGATTGCGATCAGTGGACAACAACCAGGTTGTAAAAATAGTAATAGTCCGGAGCGTGCTCTGGAGCGAAGCTGTTCGTAAACAACCCCTTCTTGAAGCTCGCACAAACTATATCACACCTACTTTCTTAAGCAAGCCACACTTTGGCATTGAATCTACACTGATGGATCAAAGAAGGCTGGAGGCTCCGGAGCGGTAATTTTCTCGCACTGCACGACTCTTCAAGCCGAAATAACTGCTATAAACATAGCAGCCAATGTGATCATCGACTCCAAAAAAGTCGGCAGAAAACGTTGTAATCTGTAGTGATAGCAGACACGCTATACTGGTGGTTGGTAGGCATCGAACTACATCATCGTTAGTGGAGTCCTGTCGGTAATTACTTAACGAGGCAAACGTATATAAAACTTCGCGATAAAGTGGCGAAAAGGACATATCGGAATTAAAGGACACCATCCATTATTTGTACCGCTAGCTTTTAATACAGCATCAAAGTTGATCAACTCCATCTCCCTTCGAGCTTTTTGCCATAGATGGGATGAGACAGCAGTAGGTGCCTTTGCAAAGAAAAGTCTGCTCTACTCCGACCGGAAGATATCTACTCAGTTCCTAGGAAAATCAAAAAGTGACTTGAGGTTCTCACTCACTTGCTGACTGGACACTGCAGGTTACAGCATAAGGTGTGAAATGGAAGACGAAACAATGTGACATTGTTTGTGACTGTCCGAACCTCGCGTATTTAAGGGAATCCACTTTTGCTGTACCTTGGCTCCAAATTTCAGATATGAGGAACATACCTTTCTGTTCTATATTAACGTTCATTAAAACATTGAGTTGGTTTTCTGACCCTTGAATGAATATTTAATTGTGGAGATGTACAAAGAGCCCGTTGGGGCCAAAGTGCTGTGAGGAATTTACCCCCACATGAAACTACAAACACATACAAGATGACCAGCCTTTTGGATCCAGCCACCTATAAGAAAATAAAAAAGGACCCAATCAAGAAGATGATAAGAAAAATTAAAGAATCGGTAAACGCTACAGGAATTCCAGCAGAACAACAGAACCACAGACTAGAACCACCAAGAACACATGAATTTTATTTTTCATTCACTCACATTAGCTTGTGGCACCCGGGCAGAACCTTTCATCCATGGAGGAAAGTTTATATTATGGTGCTATTACGATAAACATAGAAACAATAACAATTAATTAAGTAACAAGTGTTGTTTGTAATAAGTACACAGTTCTGTAAACAAAATCTTTGTAAATATTAACCCTGAATAAAAATAAAACTTTAAAACAAATAAATCTGTTTTGAATACAATAGTAGATGCCATACCTAAATGCACTATACCTAAACGTGTAATATATGGATTAACTAAAATCCATAAACCGGATGACCCGCTATACCTTATTGTCAGTGCCATATGTTTTCCAACGTATAAGCCGGCAAAATACCTTACCGAAATTCTGTCTCCTTATACAGATAAAACAGAATCATATGTCAGATGGTTGGATGGTTTAAATTACAAACTAGACCAAATACTACCATCAACGTATAGTCAACTATTAAAATCGTATCTTTCTGATCAATATTTTAGAGTAAAATACGAAAAACGCTTATTATGATGTGTGGTTAGCCCACCACTGTACTCACTCTACACATTCGATCTTCCTCAGATACCAGAAACTTTAACAAATACATTCGCAAATGACACAGCGATTTTGGCTGTTGCAGAAAATGAAGTACTTAGTTACAGCAAATAAGTTACAATTGGCCTTAAATGCAATAGAAAACTGGACCAAACGATGGCTAATAAAATTGAATACAAATAAATCGACATACATAAACTTTACTTATAAGAAAGTAAACTATATGTCCCAGTACACATAAATTTCAATGCAGTCCCTTACGCTGACTCCGCAAAATATCTTTGTATGACGCGTGAGGAACTTGTAAAAAACGTGAGGAACTTGACATCAAATTTAGACACCTATATTGGCTTATTGGCAGAAAATCTACGTTATTACTAAAAAACAAGTTGCTAATATACAAGCAAGTATTAAAACCAAAATGAACATACGAAATCCAACGGTGTGGTTGTACCTGCAAGACAAATGCAAGTCTGATTCAAAGATTTATCGTGTCGGTTCACGTACTGATACTGACTGATACGACTCTGACACACGAGTCGTATCAGTCAGTATATCGGCCACTACGTGGCTGAAAGAAACTGATTATTTAAATTTTCTTATAATTCCGAAAATCCCGGGATTCAGCTTTAAAAATTCCGAGATTTTCGAGTCCAAAAATCATCCGGGATTCCGGGAATGCATTCCCTAATCGCAGTGTGCGTGTTTTGTGTTACGATCTTAAAACTCTAAAAACATGACAATATTTATCTATATTAAGTGTATCTTGTTTAATTTGGTGTAATGTCAAAAATAAGTAACTAATTAGTACGTATTTACTAGGTGTTATACAACTGTGCTATGCATAATATACAAAAAAAATATGTCAGAGATTCTACCCACTTTGTGGAATCAATCAGAACTATGAAGTTAGATCTCCAGGATATCCTGGTAAGATTCGATGTGGAATCTCTGTTCACCAGAGTAATAAACCAAAATGCTGCGGATGGTCATCGCCAGAAATTTATCCCAGAAAGCTTGCGAGATATGTTCCAGGTATGTTCCAAGAAGGAGCAACCATCACCTCTGTCATCTGTGATCAATTTTTACATGATGACACTGTCGTGATCTCGCAATACCGAAAAGAGCGACTCCACGTATTTCTAGACGACCGAAACTCACAACACTCCATGATCAGATTTACCATGGAAACGGAAGCTGCAAAACAATTACCTTTCCTGGATGTATTGGTCACTAGGAAGACAGATGGGGCATCGAACTGGAAGTGTATCGAAAAAGACACACACGAACCGATATCTACAGGCTTCATCCTATCATCCACAATAGAAGCCTTGTTCCAGCGAGCAGAAAGGATATGCGACGAAAAAAGTTTAAAAAAGAAGAATGATTTTTACAAGATGTACTGCAGAAGAACGACTACACGATGAGGGCTATCCAACGATCCACCAAACAACGCAAGTAAAGAGGTTTTATCTGCCCTAGGTGCAAAATACAAAACGCTCTTATGAAAGCTAAAGACAAACTAATCCCATTATAAAGAGCGTGAGTCTATCAACTATTATAAAGGGAAGTACATATTAGGTTGGCTAAACTGGACGTAACATTGAGTGCTGAATCAAGGAACATGACTATGATGTTCAACTGAAAATAACATCCAACAGTCGGCAGTCGTGGAGCATTGCCACAAAGGAGAACATGCTATAGATGGAAGATGCTAGTTAACTCAACGAAGCCTTCTCCACCCGGATTTGACAAAAACAACTTAGTTGCCAATTACATAGTAACTAGTTATTAATTGTCTTTTCATGTATTTATTGTCAAACTTTAACGGATTTCGTCACTTCGAACTTTTCTGAAGAAGGGTATCTGATATGTTAAACGTTTTTTCAAAAGACACATGGCTCAACCTGAAAGTTTCTAACTCTAGGTCTAATGTTAGTTCTAGTAATAATTAGTGCTAGTGTTAGTTCTAGTTTAAGTTATAAATTATTTTTCCTTACATAAATAAATTGAATTGTGGACAAGTCGCCATTGGATTTTTACAAAGGGCATGTTGATTAGTTAAATATTCGGTGATGATTGAATCTAAAGTGATTCGATGATCAGCTTGATTGGTATCTTCGTTAGCTACTGGTAGATTAACTTTTATGTGAGGTTCATTTGAAATTTGTTTTTGTAGACGAGAATTTTGTTGTGGAGTGTTTTGTACTGATAGAGTTTTTCTAAAAAAAGGAAATTAATATCGTTTTTTAAAAAATTAATATCATACAAACTTTATAATTTTAATTGCAGGTGATGTTGTAACTCCATTGATTTGGTTACTAATCACAGAAGAATCCGGATTTTGGGAATTATTACATCTGTGTGTTGTTAACGGCGAAGAAAATGATAATCTCATCTAAAAATTACATAAAAAATCATTGTTCACAAAAATTAATTTATTTTTGTTAAAATTTACTCTATTTGGAGTTCCAGGTGTGGTGTATCTAAATTTAGATGGTTGATGAATCGCATTTGTTAATGTCATATTAGCTAAGTGAGCTTCTTTTTGTAAAATACTAGCTGTATCAGGTAAACCTTTTGAAACCAAATGTTGGTGAATAAGTTGAAGTAATTGACGATCATTAAATTGAATTTTTGTTTGTGCAACAACATTGGCCTAAAAAATATAAACGATATATCTACTTAGTTTTAATTTTTTAATGTTTACCCTATGAATATCTATTAATGAAGCATCTAATTCGTTTCCAACTCTCTTCGTTTTTCCTGATAATCGCTCAATTAATTCCAAAGCGTACTTTTGAAAAAGAACATGTTCTTGCCTTTTCTCTTGTAAAATTGGATCTCGCATTAAAGCTAAAACAAAAAATAAATATAAAAAATTAATTTATATATTTTTAAACTTACTTTGAAGATGTCCATTAGTAAACATGGATAACTTGGAAATGATTTGTCTGGCAGTATCTGAGCGTGCTAATCCAGCTAAAGCCTTACACGCTAAAGTTCGAATACAATCGGCGTCTGTTATTGGAGTTTTTGTGTTCATCAATTGTAATAAAACCTGATTGAATAAAATAAGTGTAAAGAAACGAAATCAAAATTAAAAACAAAATTACCATGATTCCACTATTTGATCGAACACTTTCCCAAACTTTTTGTATCAATTCTTCCGAACTTTTCATTTTTGTTTTTTTACTTGGTGATGGAGTTGCGTTTGAACTAAATCTACCTATACTTCCCCCAACCTTTTAATTCAAAAAGAAAGGATAAGATAATATTTAAAAAAAATATTAGATAGACTTACCCGAACTATTGGGGCGCAAACACAATTAACAATAACCCTTAAAGCGGCTTTTTGAACATCAGGATCTGCTACGATTTCACCATCAGCGGCCCCTAATATTATATTAATGCCTAGAAAAGAAAATATTAATTAATAATAATTTTCGAAAAAACAAAAATTAATAGGACTGTTCCTTTATAAATTATTATATGCAATATGTAATATTTATTTCGACATTTAAATATAGAAAACAAACCCATAAATAAAAGAATAGAAATTACAACAATTAATATAAACAAAAACGTTCTTTTTATAGTTCTAAATTCTGTTTTGGACGATGCAAATTTTGGAATTGAATATTAATAGTTGATATCCCAATTTTCTTGCAAAGGTCTTACACAAGAAATTCAGAAACGTTTGAAATTTTGAGTAATTATGAGGTAGTGATGGGCACTATCGAATAATTCGATATCAAATTAATTGTTAACGATTCATTTAAATAGCATTTTTTTGAGTTGATTTAATTTGGGCTATATAAGGTAAATTATTCTCAAAAGCAAATGGGAAAAAAAGCTTCTTTTCGACTTCAAATTGGATTTTATGGTTTCAGATTCACCATTTACTGGTGAATGGTCATCATAAAAACATCATCATAAAACTTATTTATGAAATTAATGAATTCTTGTATTGACAAGGAGGTTTACCATTAATAGAAACAATTAACTATTTAAAAATCCCGTAGTGACAAATTCTAAATTACTCTTTCTCTACCTGCTTTGGCCGTCGTGATTACTCCGGCCCCTTAGCCTTGCGCAGGGTTTCAAAGTAAACCAACCCGACCGTCCCCGACTCCGAGCTAGCCATCCTTCTCTAATTTTCATTTAAAAAGATCACGAGTATACAGTGCAATTTAACAATAATCACATTGTAATATAATATAAATTGAATTCAAACATTACATTGGAAAAACATGTCAATGGTATACATTGGATCCGTGACAATAGCTCTGTCTTCTTTGGAATCTTAGAACTGGCAGGATCCTTGTACCCTCCGAAATATGATTGTAGGATCTTGATACTCTGGCACAGAGCCGTCTTCTGAATCTTAGTAAGGTGCGTTTTTAGATAGCAGTTCGCCTTCTCGCGTGAGTCTCGAGGATGTGATATTTAATATTTTTTGAAAAATTCAAAGTAATTCTTCCTAACCAATACAGCACATTCCAGAGTATAAATTCCATAGAAGGTAGGTATTTTATAGTCGATCCGCAGATCAGTTCAGATTTTGTTAATTAATTATTGATATTTTTATTCATTCTCGAAAGGAGGGGATCGTTGCTCGACTCATCCTTCCCTTCCTTCTCTTTTGTCTAATTGTTATAGTTGTAATTGTTTGATTGGTTAAACCATGCGTTGACCAATAAGATCATTCTTAGAGTTAAGAGCGTCCAGGGGGAAAACGTTTTCCTTTTGTTTTCCTTCCCTCTCTTTTGTTTAATTGCTGATGTTGCAATTTCTAATTGGTTGAGCCATGTGGAAAGTCCTTATTGGCCAAATAAGGACTTTCCTAGAGGAAAGAACGTCCAGGGGGTAAAGGTTTAAATATTGAGGAGGAGCGCATATCGTCATAGTTTTTCGGTTTGAATTAAAATTAAATTCTCTCTTCTTCGGTGAGACAGTTCAGTTCGGTTTAAATTAAATTAAATTTCTCTTTCAAAAAAAGTAACTTATTTCGGTTTCGGTTAAGAGTCTTAGTGAAAAGTCCGAGTGAGACTCCGGTAATTCTTAAGTTTGATTGTTACACTTTCTAACGAGTTACTCCTCTCAATATGATCGCTTTAACCCTTGGTAAGTCGTTAATGTTTTATTTCACATATTAACTTGTAAAGGTTGTAACTAATTGCTTTAGCTTTTTCTGATTTGGTATGAACCTACGTAATATTCGATATTCTTTTGAATCGTTCTTTTTATTATATTGATCATTTTGTGATTGTTGAACTTAGATATTTTTTAATGTTTTTAATTAAATTTGCTTATAAAGATTTTCGAGTAAAGTCAGGAAAATTAATAGATTAAAATTTCTTTTGTTGTTAATCAATATAAAGCTTTCGAGTTATTTTTGTAGCTAAATTTGTTTGTTGTAATTTATTTCAACTTTAATTCTGTTTATTAATTTTAAATTGTATTTTATTTTTTTTTGTTATTGTTTCCTTTGATTTTAATTCATTAAATTTGTTATTTAAATTTAACTTGATTTCTTTCATTTTTCTTAATTTCATTTAACTTTGCTCCCTAAATCCAAGTCGGCGTGACAAGGTTCTGCTTGTCGCATACGCCTTTAGCACGCTCACACAACAAAGTAAGAGCCGCTCCTTACATGTAGTATGAAAATTCTGACAACCAATCCGCTGCAAACCAATCCGCAAATTTATTCAAATCCACAGTAAGTAATTTCTGGATTTTATAATCAGTGCTACACCTCGCTATGGTCATTGTATCATCCGCAAACATTATCGTAATATTGTTCGTTACTCGTGGTAAGTCATTCACATACAGGAGGTACAATAGAGAACACAATATAGAAGCCTGAGGTACTCCCAGCTTGACTTCCCTCCAAGCTGATCTTATTTCTGTTCTCTCTTCTTTGTGAGCAACTATACATTCTAACCTCCCTGATAGATAGGATTTCATCCATAACAAGGTAACACCTCTAAAGCCAAGTCTCTCCAACATGGTCAAAAGGATTGAATGATATACACTATCAAAGGCTTTTGTAAGATCCATGAACAATGCTGTCGTGGCCTGTTTTCCATTTAATCCCAAGGTAATATTTTCCAACAGTTGAAACATCGAAAGTTCGGTGGTAAAAATATCGAAAGTACGCTCACTCATTCAGAAGGGCGTTTTTAAAATGAGAATAACTTAACTGTTGTTTAATTGACAAAAAGTTTATTTATAAAAGAGTAAAGTTTAGATGTTACCATTTAACAATAAAAAAGTGAAATTATGTTTTGAAAATAATGTCAGGCAGATAACGTCAATTTTCTGCAATGCACTGCTGTAGTCGGTCCTCAAAGTTCCTCATCCCTTTCCCACACAGGTCCATGTCAATTTCCCTAACTTGTGCTGTGATAGCTGTTTTCAAGTCTTGCAAATTTCTAGGTTTATCGACGTAGACTTTCGCCGTTAGGTGCCCACATAAAAAATAATCAGGGGCTGTGAGATCAGGGGAACGAGAGGGCACAACTTCCATTGAGGCTCTGGCTGTATGTGCTATGGCACCATCTTGTTAGAACCAAACATTTCTTGTGTTAATTCTCCGTCAACGCAATTCTGAGATCAAAAAGTTTTCCAACATGAAAACATATCGCTCGGAGGTTACAGTTATAGTCACCCCTTATGTATCTTCGAAAGAAATAAGGTTCAATCAATCCAAGACGGCTTACAGCTAGGGCTTGCAATACCGGTATTCGGTATACAAAATTTTTAAAACCGGAATACCGGTATTAATACCGGTATTACTATAAAAAAGTTTACTCACTAAATATATCTAATTGTAAGAATTTTTCCCCTCTGCGGCGTCACCTCTACTAACAACAGGTTAATTCCTACTATATTTTTAGATTGGCAACAAAGCATAAGATACAGAATATGAGAAGATAATCAAAAAATGGAAAGATATTAGGAATCTGACAAAGTACCAATAAACTTAAAGGTCTGAATACCATTATTGTTTTGTTGTCTTTCACTTGGTCCAAAGGTTCAACTTCACTGCCGCGTCAAAAAATGAAATTACACTTCATCATCTGAAGCTCGGTAGAATTCTTTCGAATTCCTGCTTTGCAATTTTCTGGAAAGGTGCAGATTGGTGATAAACAATTGCAATTTTAACAACTGTTGTTTAAGTACGCTTGTGTCATTTTAACTGTGTAATAACCAGAGCCCGGACAGTTTAGGAAAGTTATCCTAAAACGCCTCCCACTCCAGTCTCAAAAATTCAATCGAAGGGTGCGAACCTGTCGGATACGTCATACCTTATGTCACGAAATAAATTATGAATTAATTTATTAATTATAAATTTAATAAAACCAAAAATGAATAATTCAGTCGTATTTTTATATTATTTTTATTAATTCATTAATTAATGTTGCACAGCAAGTTCTTCGCTAAGGTATGCTCGTCGCTCTTCGAAATTCAATTTTCAAGAGTAACTTAGTGATCAAAAGGTGTCAAAAGTGACAACAAGTACGTTGTCATGGAATTCATTTCGTGTGGAGGGGCGCACTTTTCCTAAACTATCCGGGCTCTGGTAATAACATTTAAACATTATAAAAATTATGGTGCACAATTTCGGGGAATACGAAATACGGGGAATCACGGCAAAATTCTGTACTTGCGGGTCGTCTCTATGCAGAAAGGTTTCCAAAGAGATATAATCCGGCACGTGAATCCTTTTTACGTGTGGTGCAACGTGGTAGGGAAAATGGCAATATTCGACCGACGCTTGGGTAAAATGGAGGAGCAGTTTGACCTTTACACATTGTTAATGTCGAGGAGGAGATCAGTCTGGGCTAAGTACTAGGATACTTGCAGTGCAACATGGGGTATCACAATTCACAATTTAGCGAATATTGAGGCACAACCAACTCTATCCATATCACGTACAACGTGTACAAGCCTTACTACCAGTGGATCATCCCCCTCGAGTACAATTTTGCTAGTGGTTGACATCAGCATCAGCTACATCATCTTTACTACACACACTACTTTCCAGAGAGATATAATACGGCACGTGAATCCTTTTTACGTGTGGTGCAACGTGGTAGGGAAAATGGCAATATTCGACCGAGGCTTGGGCAAAATGGAGGAGCAGTTAGACCTTTACACATTGTTAATGTCGAGGAAGAGATCAGTCTGGCCTAAGTACTAGGATACTTGCAGTGCAACATGGGGTATCACAATCCACAATTTGGCGAATATTGAGGCACAACCAACTCTATCCATATCACGTGCAACGTGTACAAGCCTTACTACCAGTGGATCATCCCTCGAGTACAATTATGCTAGTGGTTGACATCAGCATCAGTTGAACCCAAATTTTACTAATAACTTAACCAATTATCCATGTTGCAAGTGAAAAATATAAAAAAAATCAAAAACAGGATTCGAGAACACAAAACTAAAGCTAACTCTAATATATTTAAACATCACATAGAAACAGGACATCAAATAAATTATAAAGAGGTCGAACTCCTACATTCTTGCAACAAAGGTTCAAAACTTGATTTTTTGGAAATTTTAGAAATAACTAAAATTAAAAATGATAATGAATATACACTTCTTAACGAACAGCTTCAACTTTTTCAAAAACCTGTATTTTCATTTCTAAAAGGCTTTAACCTTAAAATTTAAATTTAAAGTTTAAAGATTTTTCAAGTTTTTTTTTGTTTTCCGATTTCCTACTACGCGTTCACTTTGCATGTCATCCAACGACAGTCTCTTCTTTTCTCTCCGCCAATATGGTTGTTTCGTAACACCGAACACATTAAATAAATTCTGATTTTTCTCCAATTTTTCATGACCATCAGTCTCTAAATGTAAGTTTTTCAAAGCTTTTTCATATCATTCTATATTAATTTATATATATTTTTAGTGTTTCACATTTTTATAACAATCCACGTTTCACACTTTTGTAACTTTAATTTTCATCGTTCAATTTAACTTAAGTTTTATAACAATTTAAATTTAACTTTTTCGATTCGACTTAAAAAAATTTTCAATTTTTATAAAAAACTTTTCAATTTTTTACGTACATCTTCTTTAACAACAAATGTCATCATTAAATAAATCTCTTCTCGCCTATTAGTTTCTCTGACAGTAAGTTCTTGTCCTATTTTAATATTAGTATATATTTTTAATTTTTTTTTAAATTCTTATTAGCTTTCGGCTGCGATGGAACGTTGATTCCGAAACCGGTTCCGATTTATATATTACAATAAAGCAAGTTAGAAGTTTTTATCCGTTCAATTTTTTTACTAATAACATTTTACGTTAACGCATTATTGGGCCGTGGAGAATCCTCATATTACTCGCCGAACACATTTTCAACAAAGAGGTTTTGTGAATTTATAGGCTGGAATTGTGAACGATCTACTTATTGGCCCTTTCATTCTGGATAATCGATTAATGCACGATAATTTACCGGGGCTGCTCGAAGATATTACGCTTGATGTTAGACAAACTATGTGGTTTCTTCAAGATGGTGCTCCACCACACTTTTCGATGGAAGTGCGACTACATCTAGATAATGTGTTTCCCAGAAGGTGGTCCAATCGCCTGGCCACCCCGATCGCCCGGCCACCCCGATCGCCCGACCTCAATCAATTATTTTAAAATGTTGTATGTATTCATCATTGAAAGTAAATTTCACCGATATCTAGGAAACTAACAAACTTTTGCTACAATTTTTTTCACCTATTAGTCATTATTTGTCATGAGGAATAAATCCCCAAGTTTATGCGTATAGGTTGAGAATCATCCTGTATAAACTTGACATCAGAAAATTTATTACGTAAATGTTTGGGGTCAGAACACGGACAATTAAAATTGCAAATTATATAGCTGTTTGTATTTGCAATGAAGGCTTTCTACCCATTTTTAAAAAAAAAAAAATACCATGGGAATTACTATTGATCCTGAAGCTTATGCGTTCGGTATTAAACGGGACAATAGTTGAATTGAGCGCAACGAGCTTCTGATCCTTCTAAGGAAGCTAGAACTACATGTAAATCAGAACGAACTTCCGAAAATGTTCATTTTGAAGTCGAAGAAGGCACTCTCTATGAAGCAGGAATCGCCGATTAACAAAACGTACGTATAAATCCCTTCAAACTTGCTCAAAAGATTGAACGAGTTTTTCTCAAAAGTTGTTTTTTCAACATGGTTGACACGATATCTCAAGTTCTATTTAACTAATTTACTTCAAATTTTGTACCAACCTTAAATATATAACCCTCTATCGCCCCTACCAGTTTTATAACCAAAATTATTTTTTTACTGTTTTAAAAAATAAAAAATTACGAAAAAACATGTCGAAAAATTCGACTTATTTTTCTAACAGTTGCCATTTTGCGAAAAAAATTTTTTCTGATGTAGGGGCTATAACGACATTCTTACTTCTCTTAATTTTGTCAGAAATTTTGTGTCAGATGACCATAAGGGCTACAATCGTGTCAACCAGAACACCCCCTTTTACTTTCCCTTTCAACAACTACCAACTTATAACTTTTTTAATTATAACTTTCTTTTATCGAAATTTTTATATATTTTTAAAATATTAATGAATATCTTGTACCAAAGTAAATACTAAAAATATGTTTTGTTTCTTTTTTATCAAGCTCAATACAACGCCTAAAATTTATGCTTCTAGACCGGAATACCCCCTTAAGGTAAAAAAAATATACAATAAAATGTTTTACATACCCACTGTAATTGTATCTTCTGGTAAATCAACTCTGTCACAAAACAACAATTGGACTTTCGGCATTATACACGCAATTGCTAATACATCTAAAGCACATCTCACAGTTTCAGCCCTAAAAAATATTTTGTTTAAAAATGAATTCTAATAAAAATGTTTTAATTTCTTTATCGTTTAAATAATAAACAACATTAAATTTACCTTCCACTATAATTCCATTCATAAGCAAAGGCGATTATTTTTAATAATTGTGTAATTCCACCAAGTTTTAATAGTTGATCAACAGGAGGCCAATGAGTCCTAAATGGCATAGATTGAAACAAAGTATCAATTTGTTGTTGTATTTCTTCTGGTGATGATTTACAAGCCTATATAAAAAAATTAATAAATAAAAACATAACCTAATTAACATTTTTTTAAAACATACTTTATAACTAGGTTGAGATGGAATTGTAGCTCCAGACCTTTCATTGGGCCTCAATTGATTCCTCCGAATTTGTTCAACTTTTGCTGAAAGATGTGCTTCTAAATAACGTTTAAAAGCAACACAAACATGACGAACAATTTGTCGGGCTGCACATTCAGCGTCTTCATTTAACGGTGGATTACTGTCTTCATTAGATAAAATTGGTAATGTAGAAATCTAAATAATTAATAATAACTATAATTAAGATAATCATTATTAGTAAAAAATACTTACAACGTTGTGTAATTTACGCAGGCCGTCTTGTGAATCAAATTCATCTAAAATAATTTTAAATTGAAAAGTTAATCCAAAAAACATGGTAGCGTGACATCTTCCAGAATCATGTGAACATTCCAATAACCATAAAGTATAACTAAAAATTAATTTAAAATATTATATTACTCATTTCTTTGTTTTAATATTTTTACCTAACTAATCGGCTCACAATATATTTAGGCAAAAGACAAACTCTTTCCATAGCTTCTTCACAATAACTAAGGTAATACAAACACATTGAGACTCCGGTGGCCGCTATCGAAGGTCGCGGAACATCCAATAATGTTTCTAATCCTTTGTATTGTATAAATTCGATGGAAAATTTTTTGTGGCATAATAATGCAGCTAAATATTTGGACGCTTCAAATGCTAAACGGGCTTCTTTAGTTTCTTTAACGTTGATGTACGACAAAATTAATTCTAAGGCGTTATTTTCAAAGACGTGACTCAAAAACTCTTGATATTCACCCATCGGGGTTAGGTATCTTAAAATTAATATTTGTCGGGTTGCTAAAGTTGGTGGAAATATTTGTATACTTCCAATCATAAAACTTTCTAATTCTGCCCATGATGAGTTACTTGTTTCTATAAATACGATATTATATTATTAAAATCATTTTTAGAATAGGTAATGTTGAAATAAAAGTGTCTAACCGAAGATTCGGTTTCGGCCAAAAATCGACCAAAACTTCGTTCGCTAAGTCTCGACTGGTTTGTCTATTTTCGTATCTGCTTTGGCTTGCGCGTACAGAACTTTCATATTGTTTCAAGCAAGATGATGTAAGTTGTTTGTGTACGTGCAGTACCGTGTGAAGCGTTTACAAAATGTTTGTAAATAGAAAAAGACGAAACAAGTTGAGATTTCTACGACAAAAGCACTGCTGACTTGTCAAAACCCATATATAAACTTTGCAAAGAACTTTATTCTTTGGGCAGTAACGAACTACACATGGATTGAAGCAACTTTTGTCCAAATTTCACAATTCAAAGTATCGACAAGTTTTGAAACGACAATCAAACATGAACAAGAAGAAAAAAGAAGTTAATATAAAAAAGAAAGATATGACATACTCTATAGGGGAAAGTACTGCTTTTTAGAAGTTTTAATTCAGCGGATCCAAACGCCAATTGTAAATACTGTTTTAAATCTAAAAAATATTTCCGGATGTCACTAACGCTTCAAACATATGACAAAGTGAAGGCAAAAGTAATGTACTTAATCAAACAATGTGAATGGTTAAGTTGCAGGACCGATATATGGACAAATCCATCAAAGTCGTGCTCACTACTGCGTTGGACAAGTCATTTCATAATGGGATCACAAAGATTGAACGTTATATTAGAGGCTACTGTACTGCAAATGGTCCACACCGGCGTTTACATTCCAGAAAAACTTACTCGAATTGTGGGTGAGTGTAAGATAAACAATAAAGTTTCTGAAACAGTTGATTGTCATGGTTACGCATGCATGGCTACTGCTTTTTTTCTACCTCAAATGAATGGAAAATCATGAAACTTAAAGCAATCTTTTTAAAAAATTTTCTAATGTAGCTAGATTAATTTTGGCTGTACCAAATTCAGAAAAAAATCCTGTTTCATATTCAGTAATAAAAATGGGGGATTGCTATTTGAAAAAAATATCGATGACGTCATAGCTTGTTTAAAAATGGCGGAAAAATCTAAACCAAAGAATTATAAACAATTTAAATCCTTAAACCCATCTCAGCGATTTTTCCATAAACCGTCAAGGGTATTTAAGGATGACGCCGATAGATATTGACCGACAAAAACCCGGATTAAGATAGCTAAAGGAGAACTCTTTCTGACTGAGATAACAGTTTTTTAAAATTCGGTTTGATAACAATTGCACAAGCTTGATGTTTGGTAATTTGCAACTATTTTAAGTACAAAGCGGTGCTCTTCATCGGACGGGTTAACCTAAACACTAAAAGTTTTGTATATAGGTACTAGTGAAACATGAATAATGCGTAATATAGATAACGTGACGTCATAATAACAAATTCAACACATTTTGTCGTGTTATAAAAGTGAAGCCTGCTGCGTGGTAGTGGAGACAAAAACGTCGCTAGTGAGTTTTGTTAAAAATAGCCAAAATTAAAAGTATATGTTCATCTCTCTACAAAAAATCTAAGATAATTAGAGACCATGAGAAAGGAGTAAGTGTTTCTGCGTTAGTTAAAAAGTACGGCATTGTAAAATCAAATAATTTGCAGTGCTAGGTTAAGTATTAGAACATTAATATTGATAAAAGCAGAATATCTAAAAATAGAAGCGTTGTATAAATGGTTTCCTTATCAACGCGAAAGATATGTGTATTAATGGGAGCTTAATGAAACAAAAAGCCATACATTTCTTTAATAAATATTATACAGGAAGGTTTAAGGGGACCACTCTATCGATCATTGAGAAAATTTCGATTTTTACAGAAAATCATTCATTGGGCCCTTGAAAATTTTTATCCCGAAATTCTAAGTTCATCCTCTCCAAAATTATCATTAGCGTACGTGTATCGAGGTAGCCGGCCGCCCCATTACTGGCGTACTATACGTGGTATAGTACGCCGGTATATACCATACCGGTATCGCTTCAGTAAACACGTGGAATAAACAAAAATGTCTACCTATCCTCGAAGACCGAATGCAACCGGACATCGCGCTTCTCGGCCACAAAAACGACGATTCCTAGGGAATTAATAATCAAAATCGAATCAACAGAACGAGTCGATCGAAGGAGTAAATATCAGCGCGAGTGCCAAGAAGCTCGAGTTTGACGATGATAACGGGGTATTTCAAAATGCTCTTTTTGGATACCGAGTGATAGAGATTTTTACCTTTTTTGTTGGATTGTCCGAGTTTCTAGTGTGTGCTGAGTGCACCGGAAAAATCAAATTCAAGGAGATTTCAAAACTAGGTTTGGGCTTCAAGATCGGTGTGCAATGTTCTTGTGCCACAAGAGAAATATTTTCAGGCCCATTAGTGAACGGTGGTTATGAAATAAACAGAAGAATTGTCATAGTAATGTGTCTTCTTTGCGTCAGTTTAGAGGGCCTGAATTTATTTTGTAATTATATGGACATATGCCCCGGTTTGAGTTCTGGAGCATACATGATCATGAACCACTTACATGCCAGTGCTGAATCAATATTCAAGATGTGTAGAAGAGGAACAAAAAGAAAATGAGAAGAGGGAAAGGTCGCTGTTGGATTTACATGTCTCCAGCGACGCTTCTCGGAATAAACGAGGTTTCTCGTCTCTAGAAGTCACAACGCTCATTGGATACTACTCTGGCAAAGTGACCGATCTCATTGTAAAGAGCAGTTACTGTGCTGGGAACAACGTGATGAAGAATAAGAAAGGCACAGAAGAGTATGACGAATGGTTTACGGAACACGAAGAAGTGTGTTCCAAGAACCACGAAGAATCGGCTGGCAGAATGGAAGTGGACTGAAATGTTCGAACGATCTGAGTCATTGTTCGGGGTAAAATACACCAACTATATAGGGGACGGTGATTCGAAAACTTTCAAGGACATTCTAGATTCATCGCCCTATGGTCCAAATGTAATCGTGAAAAAAAAGGAGTGTATCTGCCACGTGCAAAAACGAATGGGGACCAGACTCAAAAATATCAAGAAGACGAAGAAGCTGGGAGGAAAAAACTGACTCTTTATTACGGATTCATAATAATGGCAGAATGCAAAGGCTTGCAGAAACACATATTCTCATCCTCCTCCCTTGCATGAAGACATCCAAGAGCATCTTCTCCCGATCTATGAAGATCTATTTAGAGACGACTTGAAAGATGTGTCGGTGGGTTCTCGCAGAACGCCAACGAGTGTTTTAATTCCATCTGGCGCTACGCCCCAAAACACTTGAAGAATGGGGCTTCGACCGTTGAACTCGCATCTCATTTGGCCGCAATTATATTCAATGAAGGACATAAGGGGATTCTACAAGTGATGAATGATTGTAAAATCACGATTGGCAGCCAAGCGGCGCAATATGCGCGAGACACAGATGTTGGGATGATGCGCCAGTCTCGCAACAAAACAGGCGAGATCGGCTCAGAAAAAATCAGAAAATACTTCACAACAAGGTGAAAAGATGGACTATGGACCACGGATAGCAGACTAATCGTCATAAAGGTAAATTGATTGATTTTCTTAAGCTTTTTCATTACCCTAACTTTAATCGTGTTTTTCTCGAAACAACATTTTTTCATGGTCTGTCCCGGATAACTCGCGTTGTAATTAACCTAGCGGCTTGAAATTTTGACA